CTGCTAATATCAGACTATATAGAGGTGCTCACTGCTAATATCAGACTATATAGAGGTGCTCACTGCTAATATCGGACTATATAGAGGTGCTCACTGCTAATATCAGACTATATAGAGGTGCTCACTGCTAATATCAGACTATATAGAGGTGCTCACTGCTAATATCAGACTATATAGAGGTGCTCACTGCTAATATCAGACTATATAGAGGTGCTCACTGCTAATACCGGACTATATAGAGGCTCTCACTGCTAATATCAGACTATATAGAGGTGTTCACTGCTAATATCAGACTATATGGAGGTTCTCACTGCTAATATCAGACTATTTAGAGGTGCTCACTGCTAATATCAGACGTCCTCTATAGAGTCCTGTAGCTCAGTGGTTAGAGCACTCGCTTTGCAAGAGAGAGAGAGCTGGGTTCGATACCTGGCAGGGTGAAACTTTGGGCAAGTTTCCTTGCTCCACACGCCTGATATTAATCCCTCAAGAAAAAAAACAATAATAAATTGGTCACTTCAATCCACGACTGTTTGTGGGACACTCCTCTGCGCAATTGGCTGCCGCATTTCGCCCACAAATATACAGTCAATTCACTTTATTCTGTGAAGCGCTTTGAGACGTTTAAAAGACGTGAAAAGCACAATATCAAATGCAAGGATTATTATTATATAGAGGTACTCACTGCTAATATCAGACTATATAGAATTGCTCACTGGTAATGTCACCGTGTACAAACAGTGTATACCCACGATTGTGCAGCTCTGTGTGCGTGGATCTGATTTTGGAGTGAGTGGCTTGTTTGTAATTTTGGAGCTAAACACGGAAATCGTAATAATAATCGCGTAAATCGTTTACTATCACTGCTGCAGCGTTGGCGAAAGATGAAATCGTTAGTTAATTGGGTGCAACTCCCGTTGGATGTGAGGGCTATAACAGGTGGGGAGTGTTTGAAGTTTTATTTCGAAGTCGCCTTTTTTGGTGAGATTTAAGTGCCGAACGTCGTTAACATTTTCACGAGCTTCGAGATGAGAGTTTCCCTCGAGGTTTACAGCAAGCAGCTGGTCTTTGGCTGCTCGGTGAGGACTGTGCAAGGAGCTGGTGACGTCTCTCCAAGTTTGGGAAGAGATTAGCCCAGAATGTGGCCAAACATCCCATCCTTCGGACCAGGTGTTAAATTGAGCTCCCACTCCCCATCTATGACCTGTTTGGACAGATGTTAAAGATACCCCAGACCGACAGTCCCCTAGATAAAATCAGTCACTCAATTCATGGTTGTTTGTGGGACATTAATCCTCTTTACAGTATCTCCTGTGAAGCGCTTTGTGATGACTTGATAAGGCGCTACATGTATATCAAATGCAAGGATTATTACTATTAATAAAACAAACAGCACCAAAATATTGGGGTGTTACGAACGTCTCTGGATGCGGGGCGGTGGGGGTGGGGGGGGAGGCGGTGGGGGTGCGGGGAGAAGGGTCTTGTTTGGATGGTGAGGGACATTGTGTAGAGAAGCTCGAGACTGTAACTTACTGATCGGGCTTTAAAGATGCCATCGGCAGCAGTGCTGTACATACCTGCGTCAGCTTTTTCGCCCAGTAAGAGAAATCAATGGCTCGGCTTGTTTGATTACAACCACCGTTAAGTGAAGTGGAATATTTGGGCACCCGTTGGCACACTGGCTTTAACACGATACGCCCGGTGCTCTCCTCTCGTTTTTTAAGTTCAGTGTTTGAAAATATTTATAAAACAAAGAAACCACTAATTAGAACCGTTTGCGTTGCAATTTGCGATTTCCCAGCTATCCATCTTCTTTTCCGTTTTCTGTCATATTTTCAAAGCGCTCAGTTCTGGAGCGCTTTGCTTCACAGAGGTGTTTCGGCCCTGAATAGAGCTCTTTCTCTCTCCAGGTCTGTGTGTGTGTGTGTGTCTGTACTGTCTGTGTGACCCTCTCACTCTGTGCATGCGTGTGTGTGTGTGTGTCTCACACACCATGTGTGTGTGTCTCTCTTTCTCTCCCTCTCTCTCTGACTGTCTTTGTCCATCACTATTTATCTGAGGGCTCTTTTAAATCCTTTCCTTCTGTATGTCTAAAACCCTGATGTTGTGTGTGGGAAGCTGTCCTGTTACTGAGTGAGTGCGATCGGAATCGATGGTGTTACACCCAAAGCTGACGTTCTGCTACCGGGTAATATAGTAATCCTCGCGTGCAATTCTGCGCTTTAGCACGTCGTTGAGACGTTTGAAAATGCTTGACAGGATTTACCGCAAATGTATTTTGGAGGAGAGCACGGCAGCCAATTCACAAACAGCAACATCCCACAAACAGCCATGACATAAATGACCCAATTTTCTCGGGGCAGAGAAACTCCCTTCCCTTTTCCAACTGTCCAGTGTGGGAACTTTAAACCTCCACCTGAACAGGGCACAGATGGGCAGCTCGGTTTGACGTCTCATCCACTCCGACAATGCGTGGCGGGGGGGGGGGGGGATAGTGGGGGAATAGTGGGGAGGGGGGTGGGTGAGGTGAGGAGAGGAGATAGGGCTCGAACCCACAACCTACTGACTTGGAGGCGAGAGCGTGAGCGAGCGAGCGACTGAGCCACAGACTGAGACCTAAGGTTTTTTAAACCCGGTAGAAATTCTCAATGGAAAAGGTTACACGCTAGCCGGAACTTCTCGACCACACTATTTCGTACTCACTTTCGAGCTGAGACTGTTACTATTTTTAGTCCCTGTCTGAGAAACAGTTTCCTGTTTCAACTCTCGTTTTAAAAGTGGCTAAGAGATCGTGCCCCCCCACCCCCCCCTCGCCCGCCCCCCTCCACCCCTGATTCCGACTGTCTATTTTTAAACCCTTCCTGAAATGCATTGGTCGCTGCCGCTTGCACTTAACAAATCCTGACTCCAAAAATAGCTTGTGAGCCCCCCCCCCCCCCCCCCCCCACACACACACGCACCAGTAATATTGTTCCGCTCCTCCGCCTCACCCCCCCCAACCCCATTGTAAGGCTAAGCCAGCGAGGTTGTGGTCACCTTTAAGATGCCTTGAAATTGACGTCACGGCCTTTTGAGGCAGGGATTCAGAAAATCAATCGTAATAACCATTGCAGCTCAGAAATGGCCATTCATCCCATCAGGCTTACACCGCTCGTTCATTGCCACGCAGTCTGATCCCACTCTCCCGCGCGCTCTCCCCTCTACCCCCATCACCTTTCTCTCCCCCCCCCCACCCCACTCCTGCTCACCAGCAGAGTGAAGCACTTTGAGATGGCCTCCCTTATGTGAAAGGCGCTGTATAGAAGTGTTGCAAGCAACAGAAATTGTGTGAAGTACGCAATGATTTGCTCTCGCTCTGTTAGCAAACGTAGCATCCTGTGTGAATGAGAGATGCTGTGTCCGTGTGTGTGTGTCAGTGTGTGGTTGTGCGCCTGTGTCGGTGTGTCCGAGTGTGTGTGTGTGTTTTTAAAAAGCCAAGTCAGTCATTCATTCTTGTCGGCAACTTGTCTAACGTGTCACAAAGTATTAGCGGAAGTGAGAATAGAGAGAGAAACCTAAAAAAAGACTTGTGTTTCAGCACGCCCACGCACCCTTTGCCCCTCCGGCCCACGCAAGTCACAGTCCGTGGGTGTTGAGCTATATTTATCCTCTTGTGTGCAATATTTAGCCTTTTCGTCACGAGGAAGAAAACCCAAGGATGTGGTTAAGGGAGTGGGAGGTGGATGGGAGGAGTCTGCAGTCACGGCGCTGCATATGGTTTCAGTCACATATCAATCACAGACACCCCCCCCCCCCAACTCTCTCCTGCCTCGTATCCCCCCCCCACCCAACCCCGCCCGCCAGCCCGTCCGTTCGCCCGTGCGCTTGAGACAGACACTTCGCCACAGCGTCGCTCGCGCAAGGGAACGGGTGATTGTCTGTGTCACTGAGCGATTGTCTGCCCGAACAGAGCAGGTTCTGCGTCATCATCACAGTCACCGGGGCTGCGTGGAGTCAGGTGTGGACTCGCTTTAAAAAATGTTGGAAAAATGCAGGGTGGGGCAGGGGATGGTTTGGGAATGAGAGTGTTCCTGAGCTAATGTGATGAGGTGGACTATAATATTCCTTGGGTTCAATACGACACTTTGTGGAGTCCTGTAGCTCAGTGGTTAGAGCACTCGCTTTGCAAGCGAAAGACCTGAGTTCAATTCCAGGCAGAGGGCGAAACCTTGGGCAAGTTTCCTTACTCCACGCAGAGCCTAATAATAACCCTCCAAAACCAAAGCAATAATAAATTGGTCATTTTCAATCTACGACTGTTTGTGGGACATTGCTGTGCGCAATTGGCTGCCGCGTTCGCCCACAAATATACAGTCAATTCACTTTACAGTGTGTTCTGTGAAGCGCTTTGGGACGTCCTCCCGACGTGAAAAGCGCTATATCAAATGCAAGGATTATTATTGTATTATTTGTCGAGTCGGTAAGAAGTCCTGACTCACTGACAGGAATCTCCCGTGACGTGGAGCCGGCGTTGACCGAGAATTCACTGCGGAGAACCACTCCTCTGTCCAGTGTCCCCCTCCACCCCATAACCTGCGAAGGGATGTACATTTTACAGTCATTCAGCAAACGGGGCTCAGCGAGTGGGTTAAGAATCCGCCACTGGGCAGATCTTACTTCGGGACATGTGGCAAATCTCTCCTCGTCCTCACTCAGTTAAGAGGATAGAGGCACCGGAACGGAGAGAACTTCCGATTGCAAGGCTCGGGATCTCTCGTGCTTCTCGACGTCAGAGTGATAGCAGAAGGCGCTGTAGAATTTGGGAAAATTTTGAAGTCCTAAATTTTTAGAAACTGTTTGTTTCCCTGCAGTGTTGGGTATTTAACAGTTCGCCAGTTGTCCAAATAAACCCATTTTGTAAGAGTTGATGAAGAGACACAAGGTTCTCGCGACGTATATATATATATGTATATGTATATATATATAAAACTTTCCCCCTCCACCTCTTTCTCTGCACACAGGTAACGCAACACAGCTGAGCAGGAGAGCCTCGCGGTGTAAATGAAGGGGACGGACGGTTGTTAGGTGTGGCAACAACTGAAAGGAAAGGTAAATCTCACCTGGTGTGTAGCCTGAGTCTGACCTCTCTGCCTCACCTGTTGAAATGTGTTGTTCAGAGGCGTAAGGGGGCGCTAAGGGATGAAGGGATTTGTGGGTGAGGGTGAGAGCCGGGGAGCCAGTGGAGCCTGGCAAGGATTGGGGTGGGTCACAGGACAGGTGTGCGGGTTTTGGCCGCAGAGAATGAAGATGTGAGCGGCCTCTCGCACTCTGACCTGTTGTATTGTGTTGCATTGCCACAAGTGCCGTCCTTCGGATGAGACGTTGACCCGAGGTCCCGCCTGCCTGTTCAGCTGGACGTTAAAGATCCCGTGGCACTTTCCGAAAAGAGAAGGGAGTTTTTTTTCTCTCTCTCCCAATCCCCCAAGTAAAATCAGTCTCATGGCTGGTTTTGGGGCAGGGCTGTGCGCAAACTGACTGCTGAGTTTCGCCCACAAAATACACAGTCAGTACACTTTACAGTATATCCCGTGAAGCGCTTTGTGACGTCTCAACAACGTGTATCAAATGCAGGGATTATTATAATCATTATTGCTGTGTCCACGTCTTTGGAAATCGTGTCCCCCGTCTCTTGAAGTGTTTCACCAGATTTGCGAGGCGTGTCCCCTTTTTTCCCCTCCGTTGTTTTGTTTGAGATCTTAGATTCTGCACTTTACATATCGACTTTCCCCTCTTGCCGCAGCTATTTCCTGACTCCCGCTCTCTGTTTTCCTTCACTTTCTTCCCGCTGTTTTCCTTGTTTGCTCCCCTCCTTCCCTTCCTGACGGGAACAGATCCATTCCTTGCCCTGCTCCCTCCCCCTCGCCCTCTCCCAGCCTCGCTGAAATGTAAGTTAAAACCAGCAGTAACCCTGTGGGAAGTAGCCAGCGTCAGTGGTTGCGCCTGTTTCCAGCGTTCTCTGCAAATCCCAAACACAGAGTGGCCTCAAGGGGTCAATGCTGGTTCTTGCAATTCCCACAGGGAATTCCCTTAAGTAGAGGAATCCCCGATCCAGGCAAACACTGTACAGCATTGTTCCAGGCTTCAGTACCTCTGAGCTGCATTTTACTCTGTGAGAGCAGTGAAACGAGAAGTGCTTCACTCCCCGCCCCCCCCCACCCCAAACCCCCCAACTGTCTTCCCTTCACCCTCACCCTCCAGTGCAGTCTGATTAGCTGTTATCTCAGGACTTTATTTGTGCTATTGTAGCTCCCGCTCATCTGTGACAGTCTCATACTTCAGAACAAAAATGGTCTTTACTGGCTGAGATTGGCTGGGAGCCGAGGACTTTCAGAGGACTTTCCCTCACACTCTCCACATTCCTCCCCCACCCACCCAACCACCCACTCACTAACTCCCTCCCCTGTTTGTGCCAGTTTGCTGCCAGCGTTGGCAAGCTCTTATCTGCCAGCCAAATCTGAGTTTAAATCCGTATGATTATTCAATACGAAAATAATTTGCTGAAACAGAAGCAGATAAAAACAAAAGAGAGAGAAAAACACAAAAAAGTCCCAGAATTCAGGTCCGGATATTCGTGAATCGCCTCTCATGACAACGTGAAGCACTTTGGAGAGTTAAGCTGTTTGGTCACCCTTCCTGCTTCAAAGTGCTTGAGTGTTAGCGGAGTTTCAAGGTTATACATTAGCAGGATTAATTAGTGATCAGCGATTTTAGTAGGCAAATGAGTTATGATTCTTTTAAAGATTGATGTAGCAAAACACTTTGGGGCGGAATTTCCCTCCGTCCAAGGCTCCGTCTCAGGGCAAGTCTGAGTCTTTTATTCCGCTGCCTTGGAAACTCTTTACAACCGAGAATAAAACCGACCAGCGAGTGTCAAAGAAATGTCAGAAAAATATTCAGCGCCGTCCCTAAATTGATGTGGTTGACTCGGTCTTTAACACTCTTGCCTCTGTGATCCAGTGTTGGCCATCCAGGCCGATGTTCTCATTTCTCATCTTGTCACTTCACTTCTGTTGGGTTTGGCTCCTCTTTCAGAGCAAGTTTTGCTCTATTCTGGAGTCCCGTAGCTTAGTGGTTGGAGCACTCGCTTCGCAAGCAAGAGGACCAGGGTGCAATTCCCAGGCGGGGCGAAACCTTAGACAAGTTTCTTTACTCCACGCGACTTTGTTTACCTAACAAAAAGTAGGAACCAGGCTGTTAGTTGATTGGCGGAATGCTTTCCGGGAGTAATAATCCCTCCAAAAAAAATACTAATTTGGTCGCTCAATCTACGACTGTTTGTGGGACAATGCTGAGCGCAATTGGCTTCTGCATTTTGCCCAATATCCTGTGAAGCGCTTTGAGACGCCTCGACAACTTGATAAGGCACTATCAAAAGTAAGGATTATTATTATTATCATTAACTTTACAGAGGATTGACGAAACCCTCCACCTGGATTTACCCAGCGCAGGAGTGCAACATTGAGGGTTTCCTGTGACCCTGAGAGTGTTATCAGCTGGAAAAGTCCCGGTCATCCCACCTTCTCCTCCCCCATGGTGTCTCGACTGCCAAATCAGTCCGCCACTCTCCGCCTGGTGATAAGACTGCATTGTGCTGGTTGTGTGTGCGCTGTTCACGCTGATCCCTGTGTCAATGTTTTCCCTCTGCCTCGCCAGCCAACAACAAGGGAATTCACTTGCCTATTTAACTCTTTAAACCCATTGACTATAAAAATCGCACTATTTATTCCCAGGGGCGACGTTAATTTATCATTAGTACTGTAAGGGATATAGTAGGTAGTTCGGGATATATGTGCACGTGACCGCCAGAAGGTGGAAGGTATACTAGATTGACCTTGGTCTTATTTTCGTCTAGCATTTCTTAGGTTTTTATGATCTTACTATAGTAATAGTATTTTTTGGGGGGAGTTCAGCCAGGTGTCTGACACGGGTGGACAGCACCCCTCATTGCCGTGCTTAAGGATATCCAAACCAGTCTATGATGACCCCACAGATACACCACCTACACATGGAGATTTCCATTTCTGGGATGGAATGTGCAATGGCTCCCTCTCTCTCTCTGGAGGGACACACCCTGCTTACCTAATTCCAAAGCATATTAGGTGCAGGTTGGCAAGAGCCTAGCCTAGGGGGAGGGGACCTCAGAGTGTGCTTTGGGAGTTGAGGGAGGGAGATAATTGTTGGCGTTTAATCGCCTATAAAAGGACCGAACACGGCAAGCATTTGACTGTGTGGCGCAGGCTTCTTTCCACGTGAAGAAACACCTCGAAGAGATTATCGTGCGGTAATTCCAGTCAAGTGAAAGTGACTATTTGTTAGCAAGCCCGCAGGGGATCCATCGTAGGGCGCTCCGAGACGCTATCCTGCGTGAGGGGCGTTATACAAGCCCAAGTTGTTGCTGCAGTTTGATTGTTCAGTGGAAGCCTTGGGTCTCCGCTCCCCTTTAATTTATGCATTAAAATCTCGGCCAAAAATTAATTAAACGGTTGACACTATACAGCAGATTTATTGGTGCCGAGGAATGTGGTGCGGGGGGGGGAAACGGAGGATAAAGTCTAGATTTCGCTTACGGTGCAATGCTACCTATTGAGTAATAGATCAAAGTATTTCCTGTCCCCCTGCCTCCCCACCACTGGAATGGATAGTATTGTGTTTGGATGACCAATATATTCCTTCAACCCCCCCCCCCACCACCCATATTGAATACTGAGAACTCTGCACGTCTCTTACCTTGTGGTCAGATGAATGTCTCGGGAGCTGACATACACACACACACACACGCCGCGCGCCAAGGTAAATAAGGAAAAGTTATTTCCTTTTATTGGGCAATTGGGTAACCAGTGACTTGTTTACAGGAATGATCTTAGGAGGGATTTCTGCGCTCTGGAAGGTTCTTTGTGTTTTGGGGGAAATTGCAAAATTCTCGCAGGTGTAAAAAGAGAATTTTAGAAGTAACTGAACCCGGAGGGTGGCGGGAATACGGAATTTGATGAGACGTTAAACTGAGGTCCTGTCTGCCTGCTCAGGTGGTCGTTAAAGATCCCATGGCGCTATTCAAAAAGAGAAGGGAGTTTTCCGCTCCCAGTGTCCTGTCCTGGCCAACAATCCCCTAAATAAAAGAGGTTGGTCACTCACTCTCCATGGCTGTTTGCGGGACATTGCTGTACGTGAACTGGCTATCGCATCTCGCCCACAAAACACACAGCCGCCTCACTTTACTGTACGTCCTGTGAAGCATTTTGAAACGTCTTGACGATGAGGATAAGGCGCCGTGTCAAATGCAAGAATTATTTATTACTATTGCTCGAGCCATGTGGGATTGAGAGACAGAGACTAATAAATCACTCTTGTAAACTGGCTGGCGGGCTGGCTGGCTGGCGGGGATGCTGGCTGGCGGGGGTGCTGGCTGGCGGGGGTGCTGGCTGGCGGGGGTGCTGGCTGGCGGGGGTGCTGGCTGGCGGGGGTGCTGGCTGGCGGAGGTGGGTGGGACGGGAGTGCGCAGTCTGGCTGGCTGGCTGGCTGGCGGAATCGGAATCACAATCAGGCTCGGCGAAACGGTTTTGCTCCGTGTCTGTGTCTCGCTGCGATCAGTATAAGCGACATCTCGCTGTGAATGAATGCCCCGCTGGAGACAAAGGCAGAGCATTGTCTGCCGGTGATGAAGCAACAGCGTGTGGGTGGCAGCAACGGCACAGGCGAGGCTGCTGGTGAATGGAACAAACTCCTTTTATCTGCTGATGACTGGGCTTGTGTATACGGCACCACATGGCTCAGTCAGGCATTTACACAGGGGAAAAAAAAATCATATCTATATGTGTGCGGTTACCGTGTAACCATCCTGGTTTGATGTGCTGAAGACAATGCGATTGATGATTAATTCTGAGACTGGGTTATTCTACACTGTCTTTTGACATCCAACAAGCGTGTGTTTGATCCCTCATGAGGTGGATACTGGATACCATTAGCTCCCTGCGAGTGCACGGTGGGCAACACAGCTCAGCCCGAAACACGTGAGAGCATTGCCACCATCTTGCTACCTGCGGCTCAGGCAC